CCAGGTCGGCAGCCCCCAGAGAGTCCCAGCTAAGCTCCAGTGAGGGGGGAGGTCAAGTGCCAGAAAGGAAGGATTCGGCTCTAGTGTTTCTTCCCTAGAAAGGCCACACCTCCCCCGGGAAGACCTCACCAGCGTGACAGGTTGGACACTGAGATAGATGTCATGCAAGCTGACAATCTAGCTGCCACACACACAGGAGAAGGCCAAATGAAGAGCAGAGAGACGTGAAGATGTTGGCCTTACACACTGTGGTGATGTGGCTATAAGCTGAGGAATACTACCAGCCATCAGAAACTGGAAGACAAGGAACGACTTCTCCACTTGAGCCTGCCCCTGCCCACACCAGGATTCCTCTTACTAACAGTGAGCGCCGACACTTGGTCTCCAGAACTGTGAGGATAGATTTTTGTGTTCTGAAGCCACCAAAGGCCAGATTTGTAATAAGTCAACTCTGTAGCAGTTTTAAAAAGACATCGAGGTTCTATATGGATATGTTGATGAGCATGCTGAAAACTCAAATATAGGGACTTTTTATCAGTACATGTAAACATTGGGAAATACAGTTCACTTACTGAAATGTGTGTGTGTGTTGAGAGATACTTTATTTGTACTTTTAATAGAGAATCTCTTTAGTATAGAAGTCTGATAAAGTGCCTGTTCATATTCTAGCAGCAAGAAGGGTGGCCCGGCTGTGCTAGGGAGAGCAGCCTAGCCTGTCTGCCCGGGAGCTGTGCAGAGATGTAGTTCAAGGCTCTTGTGCTCCTCACTCCCCAAGGTTCAGGAACCCGCTCTTGTGGCACTTGCCATGGTTCATGGGCAGCGCGGACTCTCGAGCCTGTGGATACATGGGAGAGAACATCCATCTTTATTAGAAAGAGTAGCCTAGCTGGTTCTTGTATGGAAGAAAAAGGATGCATTTTAAATAAAGTTTGTCAGCACTCTAACCAGCAAAGTGAAACAGTTATTTTCAGAATGGTCAGAAGCGACCAACAAAAGCACGTCTCGATGTAGAAATCGAGCCTTCTGTGTGTCTCACTTACGAGCAACCGTTCACAGCTTTTCCGTCTAGATTTGGGAATAGATGCTTCTTCTGCCTCTGTCATGGGAGTAAAGCCACGTTCACTATTTTAATTTATGTGCTTTGCTCCTTTGACCCAAACCCAGGTCATCCAAGGACCTGGTTGATTTTCTTTTTCTTTTTTTTTTTTTATCAGCTCTTCATTTTTTTTTTTTTAAATTTTTTTCCCTCTTTTTTAACATTTTATTAGGGGCTCATACAACTGTTATCCCAATCCATACACACATCGATTGTGTAAAGCGCATTTGTACATCGTTTCTCAAAACATTTTCTCTCCATTTAAACCCCCGACATTAGGTCCTCATTTTTCCCCTCCCTCCCCGCTCCCCCCTCCCGCATGAGCCCTTGATAGTTTATAAATGGGTATTTTGTCATATCTTGCCCTGTCCGACGTCTCCCTTGATTTTCTTTGGAGAAGCACTTTGCCCACGCACACTTCTTGTGGTGTAAGATTTCACATATAGATTAGTATGAATAGGAATTAAGATAAAATGTAAACTGAGTGAAGAGTCTGTTGGTATCCATAGTATTCCACTTGCTTTCCTTTGTTTGAAATGCTTCGTTGTAAAAACGTGTTTTAAACATCTATTGAGCCCCAAGAATGTAGTGAGGGCTACCCACATGGCAGCAGGTTTCCAGCTAATGTTCAAGACTAGGAGACTCGTCCTTGCCGCCTTCCAGGCCTACCTGCCTCTAGTACCCTCTCCAACAAGGGGGGAAAGTGAGGCTGCTCTGTTTTCTAATATTGAGTATAAGTGGGGCCAAGTTAGCAGAAGGCCTGACTGGGTCTGGTACTGTGGAGATTGCGTCTGAAAGGTGTGTCTGTTCCCTCCAAATGCTGGTTACTGGGCCCTCTACGATGCAGTGTTGGGAGTAACTGAGAAGCAGGGCTGACATTTGTCAGATGTCCGGGGATAGACAGTCCAGCCTCACTGTTCAGGAAGGGGCAGCAGCAAAAATCTAGACGACAAAGTAAGTGCTCTCTGATTGGCAGCCATGTGACAGGCCAAATGACATTCTGAGCAAGAATCATGATTTCACTCATCAATACCATAAAATTTTGTATATGAATTCAAACCTGTAAGCAATGTTTGTCTTCAATATCTCGGAATCACCAAACACCCCAGTGTCTGGGTGAGCACTGCCATTTAACTGTAACTTCCCAGCAGGAAGCCCTGTCTGCTGACGTGAGTTGTGATCATGGGTGCGGTTGCCAGCTAATCAATGCATGAGAAAAGCTAGAGGCCTTAGGAAAAGTAAAACCGTCACATCGGTGAAGTCAGTTCTGACTCAGGAGAACTGTTCCTGTGGGCTTCCGAGTCTGTAACTGTCCATGGGCATAGAACACCCCGTCTGTCTCCCTCAGAACTGCCGGTGCTTTCTTACTGCCCACCGTGCAGATCGCAGCCCAACACATGACCACCAGGGATCCCTTGGTCTTCGAGACCTTAATGGTTATTTTAAATTTTGCTACTAACTAGTAGAAAGTATATAGTGATCAGACTGAAATCCAATTCGGTTGTTGTTGTTGTTTAATATTCTTTTAATTTAAAGAAATATAACAGCAACAACGTAGAAGTCTTTATTTTCCCCTGTGCATTCAACTCAAAGAGAACTCCTCACGTACACACTTACTGCCATCGAGTCAGTTCTGACTCACAGTGACCCTTTAAGACAAGATAGAGCAGTTCCCGTGGTGGGTTTCCAAGGCTGTCAGTCTTGATGGGAGTAGAGCCTCATCTTTCTACTGTGGAGTGGCTGGTAGTTCAAACTGGTGACCTTGTGCTTAGCAGCCCAGCATGTAAACTCACTATGCTACCAGGGCTCCTTGAACGAAGATAAACTCCAGCAAATTTATCTGAAAACTATCTAGATCCCAGCTTCCTCATACAGAGTGAGGGCATCCATGCAAGTCCTTTGACCTCCGTTGTCAGAGTTATTAAAGTGGCTTCACTGGATGACCGGTCCCTACCTTCTGCCAGATTACTTCCTCCCCCTGAGATGAAGGTGTTGAGGTCGGGACGCAGTAAGAATGGACATATTGTGTGGTATTAGTGTGAGCGGCGCCCTGCGCTTCATTTTCAGACTCAAAGCAGCTGAAAGATTCCGAGGTTTAGGTCAAAGGAGCCAGCAGGCCCCATGCTTTAGAACTGTCTTTCAAGCAAGAGCAGAAGGGAGTCTCCTGCCGTTTCCACGTCTGTTGGAAATTCCAGCATCTTTCGTGGAGCTCTGCGTCTTCTCCACAGTCTTCTGCTGTGTTGGAAGAATCAGAATGAGCACTCCTTTTGCAGTTGGGTAATTGTCCCCAAAGAGTCATTTCAATATCCATCTTACGTTCCTCCCTCAAAGGTGTAATTTGATGGTATTTGAGAGGAGAGCTACAACCATAAATGAATCATTTGGCTACCGTAGGTTTGTCAGGCATGTTTTAGGCACAAAAATTTTGGTAAGCTACTTCCCATATGTGACCATCTTGAAATTCCCTTTAAAAATAAGGTGACCAGATTTTAACAGCGGGACACCATTGATAAAACTCATATCCTGGTGAAATACCCACATGGCAGCCAGAAACCGTATACCCTAGCTTGTCGTGCATTCTTTTCCAAAAATCGGGACTTTTTTAAAACGACACGGGAAAAACCGTTAAAAATCTGGACTGTCCCGCTAAAAGCAGGACGTCTGGTCACCTTATTTTATTTATTTATTTATTTATTTTTGTTTGTTTGTTTTTTAGTGAGTGAGTGAGAGTGAGTGAGTGTGAGAAAGTGAGTGAGTGAGTGAGAGAGAGAGTGAGTGAGTCAGTGAGTCAGTGAGTGTGAGTCTGGTCACCTTATTTTAAAAGGATCCCGGATAGCGGTGAAACTGATCATTTTAAAATGTTATATAATGTATTTTTTTATTATAAAATTCACATCTCTATATTATGTTCTTGAGAGTGTTTGCTCTACAGTTTATATTAAACCTGAAAGATAAAAGCTTAAAATTCTATGATTTTAAAAAAATACGTATTTTTAACGTTGTGTAAAGGTCTTCATACTAAACATGTGACTGGAGCTTTTCAAGGCTTTGAACGTAATGAGACTTGGGTTTGTGTGTGTTGGAATTACTCTGAGTAGCTGTGGCATATTGTGAGTTTTGTCTTTACAGGTTCCTTTTTAAGTCTTTTTAAATGTGTGGTTAAGTGGTCCGAGTACATTCACAATGCTGTGCGATCTTTACCACCATTTCCAAACCTTTCCTCGCCCCAAATGGAAATTCTGTTTCCATTCCTAAAGACCTTCACCTTCCCCTCCGTGATGCCCCCCATAACCTCTCATCTGTTTTCTCTGTGAATCTGGCCTGTTGCACATCGGGGGAAAGATGTGTCTATTTCCAGGAAAATTACGGCCTTGTAATTTGGGGCAGTTCTACTTTGTCCTCTGGAGTCACTAGGGATTGGAGTTGAGTTGGTGGCAATGCATCATGAGGTTTTACCTGTTTAAATTTAATTTCACATGCAAAATTTGCCCATTGTTAGTTCTCAACATTTTTAGACGAACTCTTAGCCTGTCCTCTCTTTCACCCCTGAAATGACATTGTCACTTCATTGTAAATTAACCAACCAAGAGGACTACCACCACAAATGAGGCTTCAGGTGGCTCAGTGACCTGAGCTGTGGGGATCTTGTTTGTGGTTCATAAAACAAATTCTGCTTCTTAATGCGATTTCCATAAAACATCATCTTTGCAGGGTAACTCGTGCATTTTTAAGTTGCTCTCCAAATGAAAGCAATGGCTTTATAGAGAAGCCAACGTTTGTATGCAGTGTCTCTTAGAGAAATAAAATTCTTTGTCCTAGATCCGATGTCCACTTTTCACAAGATGAGTGCTGAGGAGGTTCTAGGCGGCGCCTCTGTTTAAAAGCCTTGCTTTCTGTTAACTAGAGATGTGCAAGCAAGCCAGCGCTCCGTAGCCTTAATTGCAGAAATGATCCACACTGCTAGTCTGGTTCATGACGACGTCATCGACGAGGCAAGCTGGCGAAGAGGAAAGCACACCGTGAATAAGATCTGGGGGGAAAAGAAGGTACGGTTTTGCCTTATATTTCCATCTTTCTTACAAAAGCAAGTGTTCTTTGGAGTTCGATGATTTTTCAGTTGTGTCTCAGAAGTGTTCAGTATGCTCGTGCACCTGTGCTCTTCCAGATTCCCCCCAAACTCTACCTTTGCAGTTACTAAGAGACACTCAACAAAAAATACCATCAAGGGATAAGCAGCATGTCTGGTTACTCAGTTTTATATCGGAGTCCTTCCGGTACAAAGAAAGGGACTTTCCATAGGTACCCCAAAAGCCTGTATGTCAGGGGGAATCAGACATTTCACTTCTGCCTCACCTTAAGCTAGATTAGCGTAATGCTGCGCTTACTAATTCGTACTAGCATGTCCAGGCAAGGCAACTTGCAGGGTCTTGTGCTTTGTTTTGTTTTATTTTCAAAGCCCAGAGGGATACTGCTCGCTCATAACATTTTTGCCTTTTTAAGTGGAAGTACAGTTGTTAGGTTCCAAAAGTTCATGACAAAATGGAATGAAAAGATAATGGCATTTCCCCACAAACTTTTTGAAGTCTTTTTGTATATATGAATGAGTCAAGCTCCAAGTATACAACTTTCCATCTCTTGTTAGAACCTTTCCATATTATTTCACGAATCTTTCTTGAAGAAGGGCACGTGAAGTGGGGACTTTGATTTGAGGACATTTAAATAAACCATAGTTTCAAGAATGAAACTTAACAGAAGAGCCAGGTGGTGCCCAACTGCTTGGAAAAGGAGGGCCTGGCTAGAGTGGGAGAAACATGTGGAACAAAACTCAAACTCATGCAGCAAGACCAGGTGGACTGCAGGCCTGGACCACAACACTGTGGCTCAGCATTCAGCAGCACAAGGGAGGAGGCACACACACAGGCCTTACCATCAGCAACTGTTTGCAAGCAGGACAGCATTTATCCCAGGACAAAGTTCAGAAGGCAGGCAGGGCTAGTGGGGCAGAGAAGTGGAAACAGACACGGGGAGGAAGTGGCAGAAGTGGCGTGCCATGTAAGGACTGCAGTCAGTGAAGTGGACAGAATGTCAGTTGTTGAATGGAAACTGGCTTTGTTCTCACAACCTTCACCCAAGTCACAATAAAAAGTTTTGAAATATAAAACATTGCAGCCCAGAGAAATCCTATGGAGTAGAGGAGGGGGAGAAAAAGAATTGGGAGTCCAGTAGGAGAAATCTGATTGGAGCTGAATAGGGTGCTTTGGAGCTACCTCACACACACACACACACACACACACACATACACACCACACATACATACACACACCACACATACACACCATACACACACACACACC